GTTGAGGTTCGTGTGACTCGAATTCTCAAGTTGTACGGGTTTGTTAAGCACCGTTAAGCTTAACGAGATAGTAGTGTAGCTAGAGAGAGTCTCTCGGGAGGCTGGATTAGCCACAAGTTGTGGTGAACCAGGGTAAAATCGGTGTGCCTCTTTCTTTTCTCTTTACTTCTCGCTTATTCATTTTTATTCCTGCGATTTCTTGATCAAACGCTATTCACCCCCCATCTAGCGTTGGTCTTTTATTCTAACAGCCCAGACTGAGACCCGGGAAAAACGTCACATCGGGCTTGGAGATGAAGAGGAAGATTCGGAGCCCGCGCCGCACCGCCAGACGAGACACCACGAGTGTAACTTCATCATTGGAGGGAATACTAGCGGAGATTCAGCCACGAGCCGGAAGAAGTGGGCCAACGCGGCAATGGTGAACAAGGTGCTGGTCCCAGAAGGTAAGAAGCTGAAAACTGAGCCAATTGTGATTACTATTGATATAATGGACTTACTGATCCATAAAACCCTTGTGGATACGGGAAGTTCTATTAATATCATGTATATGGATACGTACAAGGCTCTTGGTTTGACAAGGGATGAATTATCACCCATCAAGACTCCACTGATCGGGTTCACTGGTGACTCTACTGAGCTGGAAGGGTAATAACTCTCCCGGTCGAGATAGGGGATACTAAGGCCACCCGGAAGCTGGACATGGAATTCGTAGTGGTGGGGATAATCTCCAATACTAATATCATCCTGGGCCGCCTCGGATTGGAAGATCTAGAGTGTGTCATTTCACCTCGTCACCTGTGCATAAAGTTCCCAACCCCCCACGGAGTTGGAATCGCCAAGGGATCTCAGAGAGTGTCCCAGGCGTGGTATTTAAAGGCGACCAAACAGCCTATCAAGTACGATACCCAAGTGGGAGAGGTGACTGCACAGCTCTTAAGGGCCGAGGAGAGACGTCCCAGAGTAGAAGTTGTCGGCGACATTGAGGAAGTTGAACTGGAGCCGGGCACGCCGGGGAGGTTAGTCAGGATTGGCAAGGGCCTGGGGGATGAACTCAGATCACGAGTGATCTCAGTCCTTAGAA